AGTAAGTGTAAGTGCATAGAGGGGATTTAGGGGAAGGCCATGACAGGCTGGTGGTCATGCCCATCAATCAGGAGTGCTGGCATACCCCTGACTAGCCTATTAGACACATTTTGAGAGTTGGGATCCCTTGAGGATCAGGTTCAGACCTAAGCAGCAATTCGGATGTTGTCAGGCCATAAACCTTAACTCAAACACATAGAAGAGAGTAGGGGTATAGGGAGTTCATAACAAACAGCAGATGCAAAGAGAGATTAACATATTCAATACAGAACATGGACAACAAAGTAGACAAGAGCGTAACAATTGTAAAATAAACACATAGGGATGGTACTGAAATCGAAATTAAGGCATACCAGTTTCAGGGAAAACAAACAAGTAAAAGTAGTCTTGAGATAGCCAAGTTGCAAGCAGATAGTACAAAAGATCTCAAAAGAGAGTAGAGTATTGAAAGAGTATTGTAATTGAGAGGTATGTGTGTAAAGTGTTGAATTCGAAGTATTGAACTGAAGGTTCCAGGTTGTCTAAGTGCAGAAGGGTAGTGCCCCTTTTATAGTGCAGAAAACAAGTAAGAAAAGGTAAGGGAATAGTTTGCAATCAATCACACAGAATCTCCCTTTAGTTAAGAGATTCTGATTTCAAATGGGTAGAAGACAATTAAGGAAAGAATTGGATTAAAATCTTTTTCAAAGTAGTACAAGAAGGGAAAATACATAGAAACTATTTAAGGAAAGAGTTTGATATCAACACGGTTTGTGCAAATAAGGAAAGACAATCAATCAAAAGCCAATAAAATTAGAAATTGAGTTTTGTTATGAATGAATCCAACCAGAAAAGGTGAAGAAAGGTTTAATTAAAGAAAATCAGTAACAATCAATCGAACCTTATTAAAAGGAATTCTGAATCAATTACAAATTGGCAAAATCTCTTTTGAAGGAAGAATTCCTCATATATAAAGCATACAGACATATCAAACAAGAAAGAACTGTCATGCTAATTAGAAAGAATCTAGCATAGAAAAGAGTTCAGAGTCAAAAAGGGATACAAGTTCAGTTTGGCGGACTCATAATGAGTCTGACAGTCCAGGGTTCCAAAGTAAAACCCTAGTCCAAGATAAAACTTGCCAAAACCCAAAGCCTAGGATTTTCAACTTTAATCAGAAGTAGAGACAAAAGGACAGATAACAGGCTCAGAGACTCATGAGAAACAAACAGACATGATACATAGTAAAGAGCATAGAGAACACGTTTTGAGAAAAACTCAGAACTTAAACAAGTTCAGAAGAAAAAGTGATACAAACTTAACAAGCGGTAGATAAAACACATTTAGCAAGAACACGAACAGAGTCCAGTAAAGCAAACAAAATTGAAGAACTTAACAGTAAACACATATAGTAGAAGAGTAATGAAAATATAACAAGGATAATCATGTGAGCACAGGAGTAACATGTATAAAAGAGAAGTAGAAGGACGGTACATTCGTAGTAAAAAGAAGTCACACGAGCATGATATATACAAAAACACATAAAGAAAAGAAGAAGAAGAATCAGAAAGATGTTTTTGAAACTTTTTCAGAAACCCTAAATCGAAGAGAAACAAATTTTGAAAGAGAAGATTGGGGAAAACGTTTTAAAACTACAGTAGAACACAGATATAACATGGATCTAAGAAAACACACAGAGAAAAACCTCTAATAGCTAGGGCTTCAGAGAAACCCTAAAAATGAGAAAGACTTGGAAGAAGGTCCGATCTTGAGTCGGATGAGGTCCGAAAAGGTTTCTAGTACTTGAATATGCCGGAGCATGGCCGGAGAAGCCATAGATCTATAGATCTGAGCAAGATCTAAAGAGAACCATCAGAGTCGGGCTTCAAATCATCGAACAACTTAGGTTTGATGGTGAGAGAGGGTGAGTACAGGCCATCCATGGCCTGAGAAGCCATGGATTCCGGTGAAGTAACGGTTGAAAAGGGTGGAAGTTGACTAGGGTTCCGAAGAACCTTCGAGAGAGTTTGAGAGACGAAGGGATTCAAAGGCGGCTAGTTAGGCGAAAGTGATTAGGGTTAGGGGTGTTTGGGAAATTAAAAAGGAAAGGGGGAATTATGGCCGTTGATCAAAATGAGCAACAACCTAGATCAAAAGGGAATCCGGGTGGGTTTTTTAATTGGGTCATGGGTCGGGTAAAAGATGAAATCGGGCCGGTCCAGCCGGGGTTAGGATTGGGGTCAAATTGAGGTTAAAATTGAAATGAAATGGGGCTAAATGTTAAATAACCAGTTTTTCCTTTTATTTTATAAAAAATAGTAAAAATGATTTTAAAAGTAAATTAAAAGTACTGAGCCAATTAATAATATATAAATATCAATTTAAAAATACTTAGACCAATTGTACAATTATAAAACGCTATTAATCTTAAAGTAGGCTATAATTGCAATTATATGCAATTTAGTCTTTTAAATGCCAAATAAATTTGTAAAACATGTACAAAAATTATATTAACTATATTTTGGTATAACTATGGGAATAAAATAAATCATTCACCAAATTGATGATTTTGGGAATAATTATGGATTTTGTATTGCTAAAATAGACAATAAATTAATTTTAAAAATCTTAAAAAATTAGAAAAAATACCAGAACTCTTGGGCATGCTTATTTATGCATGTACATGCTATTTTGAAAGTATTTTATATATAAAAATATATAGAGAAAAATTGGGTATCAACATGCTCTAGAGGATATTCTCATTCTTTAAATGATTACTTCTTATTCACTAGGGGTTCTGGGAGTTCTTTGGTGATTTTAGTTGTTTATGTGGATGATATCATATTGAGTGTGACTGATTTGCTTGAAATTTCTTCTTTAAAAGATTTTTTGCATAAGCAGTTCAAAATAAAAAATTTAGGTTCTTTCAATTATTTTCTTGGGATTGAGACACTTTATTCTGATTATGGGGTTCTCTGCATAAAAAAAAATTATCAGTTAGCTATTGGATTCTTTTAATTCTTCTACCTGCTCCTGTTATTTGTCCTCTTGAGCTTAATGTGAAGTTGAAGGCTTCAGTTGGGGACCCTTTTGCCCAAACCTGAAGAGTATAAGTACTTGGTGGGCAAGTTGAATTTTTTTAACCCACACAAGGCCTGATATCATTTTTGCAATACAACATCTGAGTCAGTTCATGCAGGCGCATTGTGTTCCCCACATGAAGGTTGCTCTGCATTTGTTGAGGTATTTGAAGGGTACTTCTAATTTTGGCCTCTTCTTTAGCAATTCCTCTTATATGTCTTCTGAGTGTATTGTGATAGTGATTGGGCCTCCTGTGCTGATAGTCATAGATCAATGCCTGGGTTCTGTGTGTTCCTTGGTGAATTTTTGGTGAGTTGGAAGTCCAAGAAGTAACAGATTGTCTCTCTTTCCCCTGCTGAAGCTGAATACATGGCAATGAGCAAAGCTGCAATAGAGGTCACTTGGCTTTCTCGGTTGGTAGCTGATTTTGGCATCTCTTTTTTCTCTCTCTTATTCCTTTGTATTGTGATAATCATGCAGTCCTACGTATCGCGCGCAATCCAGTCTTTCATGAACAGATTAAATATATCGAGTTGGATTGCCATTTCATCAAGGGTAAGCTTGGTGATGGACTAATCAGTTTGGGCCATGTTTCTAGTGATGCTCAGGTTGTTGATGTCCTTAAGAAAGCTCTTCTTGGGCCTGTATATCATTTTCATCTTTGCAAGTTGGGGGTCTTGTCACCCTCCAACTTGAAGAGGGTTGTTAGACTAGGCCTAGTTGACGTAGGTTAATATTTGGGCCACATTGTTTAGGCCCACATTTGTAGTAGGCCCATTTGTAATATATATCTGTTAGTCTGTCGGGTTAAGAAAAGAACAAACCCATTATATTTTGGAACAGACTCAATTGTAGACACACACTTGAGTTCATTATTTTCCCTCTCTCATAAACAATATCTCTAAGCTTCTTTCAAAGATCTCATGAACCCTAACCACTACTTTGTCAAATCTCGCATTAACACTAGCTAATATTTTCTATGTGTGTGTTAATACTTGGCTCATGAAATGCGTAGGATGGTTATTTTGAATGGAAATTAGATTTTACCTCTAGCAAAGGAATTGCTTTAATAATATGTGTAGGGCAAAAACGATTCAGCCTACACCTTTGCATGTATATGTCAATATTTGGCTCATGCATGAAATGCATAGGATAGTCTGAGAATGGAAAGGCATGCATAGGATAGTCTGAGAATAGAAACTAGAGTTTTAGCTCTTGTGCTGGGGAATTGTTTAATTACACTTCTAGGGGAAATAAAAGTTTCAGCTCTACTACACCAAAAGGAGTTCAATCTACTAGACTTGCAAAGGTTGATTTTGAAGCTTCATACATGCATACAATGCATATCGAATGATTTTAGTCGTTTTTACCCCATGATACATAAGATATTCTATGTTTCATGATCATTTTAGTGTCAAAGTACTTAACTGGTCAAATATCGTTTAGTTTTCTTACTCCTTGTAATTTAATACGAATTCAACGAATATAATATAAATTTTTTCTGATAATAATAAGAAGCAAATGATGAATACTTAATTATCTCATTGTCTCTGCCTTTATTTTTCTGAAAAAAATCTAAATTCAAACATGACAAAGATTGTTTAAGAAGTTTATATGATCAATTTTGGACTACAATCATTTTCTTAGATCGAATTTTATTATTACTGAATAATAATTTTCAAGTTAATGCATTGAAAAATATCGCATGTTTAATCACATATCACAAGCAGCACGGAAAACTACTAATAAATTCTTTTACATTTCATGAGTATTTTAGTTTTAGACTTAAACCCACTCAAAATATCATTAATTTTTCTGATTCCTTGTAATTTAACATAGACCAAAATATGATGATATAAATTCTTTCTAATAAGAAGAATATTGGAATACTTAGCTCATTGCCCTTATTTTTTCGAAAACAACAAAAAATAAAGCCGTTTGCAACCGAATTCATACTTGACCCCTTTAATAAGTCTTTATTTTTTAATATAAGACGACAAATTATTCAGAAGTTCATACGTTACACGTTCAATGGTATTTATTACAACCTCATCTTTTCAAATATATAGTTAAAGTAACACTCGTATATTACACACATATTTTGGACTCTATCATTCTTTTGAATTGAATTTTGTTAGAATTGAGTAAAAGTTAAATAATTTTCCAGTTAAGTTTAGAAACTTTCCATTTTTTTACCACACATACTATCAAAACAAGTGCAAAAGCGTGCAAAATAAAAATTATAGTAACTTCAAAAGTGAATAAAGTATTTATTCAAAATATAAATATTGTTATGGTGTACAACAATTATTAATAAAAAATCCTTCCATGTGAGCATGAAAGAGAAGTGGTCAAATAGATATATTCTCCAAGTCCTAACAACTATGAAGAATAAAAAGGAAAAACTATAGAAGAAATCCCTCAACCACTCGACAAAATTACACACAGTAATAATTTACCCTAGTCCCAATAAATTTTAGTCAACTGTTGGTATAGTGTAATTTGACTTACCATTGAGTCCATACTTTGTAAGAATTTTGACGTCATAACTTATATTATATACAAAGAGACATGGGAATCCACGAAACTTTAGGGTCAATATATATAGTAGCATTCATTGTCCGAAACAAAAAGGAAAAAAGGGACAAAAAAGTAAAGCAAACAACGGTATCTTCAAGTATCGTGCATGCATTTTGTTGTGCTCTCTGTTTTTGTTTTTTTGGTTTGCATGCACACACGCTTCTCTCTCTAAAAAAAATCATCTCTTTCTCACTCTATACATACATAGTACTATAATGCAATCTGAAAAAGGAACCGCTGTATATGTAATTTGGTCATCGAAACTACCACCTATCACCGCTGCCGACCACCGCCGTTTTCTTGAACTCTGATTTGACCATTTTCTTGTGTGCATATTCACTTCAAGATTTCCATAATTTCATGCCCATGCCACGCAGCCTACTCTATTTTCTGGGTGCACCAGTAGATTAGGCAAGGTGAGTTTTTTTTTTCTTTTTCTTTTGGGGGGTTTGGGATTTTTAATTTTGGGTTTATTTGATCTAAGTCAATGATTTCTTGAAAGGGTTTTAGGGATTTTTGGATTTGGAAATCTTAAATATGGGGTCAATGATATGCATGAATGAGGTTTGTCGTAAGACGACGTCGTCTGAATGGAGGAAAGGTTGGAGCTTGAAATCCGGTGGATTTGCAAACCTTTGTTACAACTGCGGGTAATTTCTNCCTAAAATTGCTAATGATTTTCTTTTTATTTGCATTTTGAAATTGTTCCTAAATTTAGGATTTTCAGTTATATGTGAACATTTGTTGTTATATATAGTTCGTGAGTGGGGTTTTCCCTCCCTTTTACTCTTTTATCAGAAGTAGGAGCAGATTTATTTTATTTTATTTTATTTTGTTATGTGAATTATGTTGCTTCCCAAAAAAAGAAGCCTCCTTTTGGGCAAGAAGAGGAGATGGGTCAAAGTCAAAAAGACTGTATGTTTCTTGTTGTTGCTTCCTCATTTCGGGGGAAGGAGAAAAGGGTCAGAAGTCAAAGGACCATATGGTGGTGCCTTTTTGTTCTTGCTTTATTCATTTATGTTTTCTAAAAGAAGACGAGTGAGGTGTGTTCTAATTACATGATAGCTTATTGCATATACCTTTCCATGTTATCTTTAAATTATTAAGGTTACGACTTAGTCCCCAAGATTAGAGGCGGATGGCGTAGCATCTAGACTTCAACTAAACCCAATATTTTTAACACGGAACATGGATGCATATGTAAAAATTATCACTAAATTTCAACAAATATTAAATTCTAAACTCATAATTTCAAAAGTATAATGAGTTTAATGCTAAGGACCTTAAAGGTAGAATCCATCATGCGTAAGTTTTGGATCCACATCTACCCAAGATGACAGCAAACTGGCCAGGTGGCTACAATTCGAATCGCAGTGTGGCTCGCGTCTCCCTACTCCACTGTTAACTATGTGAAAGAAAAGAGCTTGGACTTAAAACAACATGAAAATAACCTACTCATAGAACTTGAGTCTGAGGACAATGTTGCTTTCCTGGCCTAGAGTTTTTGCTGCTTTGTCGGGCTTCAAGTACTCGTGATTCTTGAAATCTCTCTGTCACCTTTCTGTTGGTCTTTGTTGGCGAAAGAGTATGCTAGCCTTAATGTCAACTGCTTTATTGTTAACTTGGCTATACGACTCTTAAAATCAGTAGGTAAATATTAAGTAGGTAGAAATTCCAATTCCTCCTGATTTTCATGGTTCATTTCCTCCTGTCACCCTTCTATCGCTTAACAGCTTGTTTGGATGGTTGTTATGTATCATTTCATAATGTATCATATAGTATTATATTGTATTGTACTGTATCGTTTTGATGTATATGATATTTGGATAGATGGTCTTGTTTGCCGTCGTTTCATGATGTCATGCACAAACAATATGAAAAATAAACTTGCAATATTATAGAAAAAAGTAAGCTATGAGGTAGAATAATTATATTAAAAGGTAGGGTAAAAGATAAAATATGATTATTTAACAATAAGGAAGGGCTAGATGAGAGAAAAAAAAAGAGAAAAAAAAATAATAAGGCAACGACGCGACAACACCAAATCGGTTGTTCCAAAAAGTGACACTTTTCGTCGTTACGTAACGACGGATTTAACGATATACAATAAAATTTAAGTAATAATCAAAACATTCATTGTATTTAAAGTAACAATATGATACAATACAACATGTAACAACCATCCAAACAAGCTGTAATTGTTAATTACTTGGAGCATTTTGATCAATCTAAAATGTAATTGATTTTTATTAGTGCTTCTGGTGGATGTCTTAGTTTCTGTTATGCTAACTTAGTAAATCATTAAACTTTATTTTGGCTCCTGCCTTCATTGATGTCATCTCATTTGAGTGCAGATCTGCTTTTGAGAACTTAACCTTCTGTGAAACTTTCCACATGGGGGATTCTGGTTGGAGAGAGTGCAAAAAGTGTGGGAAGGTAAGTTATAAAAGTTGGGTCAAGTTTGTCTCGTCGAGTGATTCTTGACTCTCTGTGCATATGGTCTTGCAGCATCTACACTGTGGGTGCATTGCTTCAAAATATTTGTTTGAGTACTTAGATTTTGGAGGTGTAGGGTGTATAAGCTGCACAAGGCGTTTTGATGGTCATTCCATGAGACCAATGCAGGTTCTTCTTTCTCCTTTCCTTTATCTACTTCATTTTCTTATGTCTCATGGGATAGAGGGTGAGGAAGAGGCGACAACAGTTGCACTACCAGAAATGAAACATAGTAGATATGATCCAAATATGTACAGATTTTAGTAATTGTTATTGGTGGGACAAGTGCCTCTGCGATAAATGTGGTAGAGAAATGAAAGCATGTCTTCTTATCATTATCCTCAGTTTTTTTTTATAATTGGTCCAACGAGCTGCTTGTATACCGGGATTTCCCCATTACATCAGTAAACCTTATTACTTTATAAAAATACTAACACAACAACAACTACACCTTAGTCCCAAACAAGTTGAGGTCAGCTGTATGAATCCTCACTTCTTCATTCAAGCTCAACTAACATCATCATCATACCAAATAAAATAAATTTATATATAAATATATATTATACATACATATATATGTATATATACACACACACATATAATTATAATAATGATAATAATATTAGAAACTCTCTAACAAGTCTAAATCCTATTCCCAACTAGTAGTTCATCAAACTACTACTAATAATAACAATAAGAATAATTTGTATAATTGGACCGAGGGGAGCAATATTTACCATTGTTTATCCGGTATCTGCAAGTACACAAACCTGTTACATAACATAATATATTAAAATGCATCTGAATTATTCTTCATCATTCATGTTCATAATGCTGAACTGTTGTGATTGAGTATTCGATGAAGTGACATTGTCTTAAGTCTCTATGGTTTATTCTACTTTTTAAAACATCTACTTGTTTGTTAAGTCCCGTGGATGATTTTACAGCTAGAAAAATTAGAAGATATGCTGCTCTTATCCAGCCCTTCAATTCTGCATATCCTATTTATGGTAAAGATAGTTGTAGATTGCTAAATTTGGTGCGGGAGCACTAAATTTGGGTTATCATGTCTATGTAATGTATATGGTATCTGGCAGTGGTTTGGTGCTTGTCTGATGCATTTGACATTTAATCTAATATGTTTTATTGTGATGTTTGCTAATTTTCCATTGTAATAGAATATTTTGATTTATAATATTTTGGAATTATGTCGGCATTTTGGCCTTGTTGATAAATGTCTTACTTTTTCTGAAGCAGTGGAAGTACTGTTCTTCATATGCTGCAAAATACAATGAGTATGTGTATGAGATTTACACCTTTAGCAAATGGCAATTACATTTTGAAATACAGTTACTCACAATATGAGGATGGGTGAACATAAAATGTACCAATTATTGTAGTTTACACTTATCAAACTTGAAGTCCTTCCTTTATCCTTGTCAAGTAGTGTTATCACCCATTGGCAAGTATTGTGCTCCATTTTACTTGGTTGCTCATGTCTTACTGGTGTGGAGATTAAGAAAAGAAACAATGTGTTATGACATTGGAGTAAGTAGGATACATGGTTAAAGTAATAATTGAAACTCGTTAATGTTGAGTTGTCGCACATCGGTGGGATTTGAGGTCCTTGGTCTCCTTATATGGTCTTAGGCAATCCTCACCTCATAAGCTAGTTTTTGGGGTTGAGTTAGGCCCAAGGTCCATTTATCATCTAAAAGAGATATCACCATAGAACAAAGGCTAATAAAATGTAGTAGTTCATGTATTTTGACTTCTTGTAGTAAAAAAGTAATCTTCTAGGAAAATGGTAGAGTAAGTTGCTAATAACTAGATGCTGGTCAAGAAATTGGGATGGCATATATTTTGTAATTTTTTTCCTTTTTAACATTTACTATTCATTTACTCATATTTGCTTTCAGTCTTGAAGTATATGTATTGGAACGAAACGGGCCCCAATAGGGCGAAATGGATATAGAAAATTCACATAGCCGGACCAACTAGTTTGAGATTGAGGCAATTTTGATTGTTCAATTGATTGATTTGATTGTCATTTCCTAGAATTTAATGTATCATGTCAGTATTGTCTCACCATTCTTAGTTTGTTTTACCTTTCTAATAAGAGTTGTTTTCGGGTCTCTTTTATATATCAGCACCTTGCCTATGCTAATTGTTGTAGTCCTTAACAAATTTAGTTAGTAAGTTCCAGACATATTTTGAGTGTTACCATTCTATAAGTATTTTGGCAGGTACCTGCTGATGATTTTCGTAATAACACCTTCGGAACTAATTTTATACAGCCACTTCATGTGGAAAAGGGAGTAGATGAAACCAACTTCGAGGAAGGAAGGCTTCCAACAGTGAACAATATAACGGAGATTAGTGAGCCTGGTCAACCCTTTCAAAGTCAAAAGGATGAGAATAATGTGTCTCTTGGGAAAACTAAGCAAGAGAAGCTGCTACCTGTTGGTGATGTTAGCACATGCTTTTCAAATCTCAACCAGCAGTCTATAGCTTCTCTATTTCGTGAACAAGACAATAGCAAACCAAACCAAGGGGTAAAAGAAATGTATGACACGACCAATCAGCCATCGCTAGATTTCTCTTTGAGTACTCCTGTGGGTTGTTCAAGTCCAGGATTATCTTTTCCTGGTGGAGGGGTTGAAGGAAGGGAACATGAAAAGACTCCTCCCTTTCAACAGGGGCTAAGGATGCGCCACATATTGCTCAAGCCCCCCAAACCTAGTCCCAGTTTTGGTTCTGATTCGAACAAAGAACTGCCTTCACAGACTCGGATTGCAAGGCCTCCTGCAGAAGGGCGAGGAGGCCGCAATCAATTACTGCCTAGGTACTGGCCTAGGATTACAGACCAAGAGTTGCGTCAATTATCCGGAGAGTATCCTTGTACTCACTTCTCATTGTTACTATTGCGTACTTTTGAGTTGTTTATCAGCCTGTTAATCATAATAAGATTAGCAAGCATAACTTAAGGAATTTTTTATATCACTTCTCTAGCTTGGTATCAATTATGTTTGCTTTGACTGCTATTTAAGCTTGAAGTCCACCATAGTTCCACTGTTCGAGAAGGTCCTAAGTGCTAGTGATGCTGGTCGAATTGGTCGTCTGGTTCTCCCCAAAGCATGCGCTGAAGTAAGACCTAACTCTTAAGACTTCATGATTCGTGAAGTTCCTACTATTCCCCTTGTCCCAATTTGATAGACTTATTTAGGCTATTTAAGGTCGATTTGACCAATTTTGGAGTTAAATCTGGTTTAGATTACTTTGTCTGGTGGGCATAAAAAATAAGTAATGAACTGTATGAACAATTCTAGAAGTTGCAATATTTCTTACAGAATGTTGAGAATATCTACTTAAAAATCTTTTAGTTGAAGATCATTTCCTTTGACCCCTGGGAAGCAAAGTAGGAAAATTGTTTTGAGGTAAAGGAGGGATAATATATCTTGTCTCTTACCTTTATGGTTGCTAATGGTTAGATTTGGACACACCTTTTTGCGCTTTATGAATTCTAAATCCTTTGCAGGCATACTTTCCTCCTATCAACCAATCAGACGGTCTGCCAATAAGGATTCAGGATATAAAAGGTAAAGAGTGGACATTTCAGTTCAGATTTTGGCCAAATAACAACAGTCGGATGTATGTTCTGGAGGGTGTCACCCCTTGCATACAAAACATGCAATTGCAAGCTGGTGATACTGGTAAGTTTCTTCATTTGATGTTGTAAGTGTCAGAGTTTCTTTTATGTCCTTTTTATCCCTTAGTTTCGATTCTGCTGCAAGGTTACCTTCTTTTGTTGTACATCAATGATGCTGCACTTGATATAACCTCCTTAAATGCTTCTTCTTGAATATTATTCTTCTTTTATTCCTTTTTTTCCCCTTCCAAAATCAGGGATAATCTGGTGATAATATATCCTGCTAGTGTTCACTACATCTTATCATGCTTTGGTTCCACTTATGTTAAAAATAGATGAAGTTGATTTTTCAACAGATAAAAAATGGAGATAATAATATGAGATCTGTCGATTTGGTACATCTGTCAGATGCGTCATATTTGCACAAATTGCACTATGCTTTTCTTTACATGATCGTTGATTCTTCATCAGACTCACCAGTTGACCGTGTACTTGGAATTTGTTAGTGATTTCTAATTATAACAACTAATTGTGGTATTTTATTTCAGTGGCATTCAGTCGAATTGATCCTGGAGGAAAGCTTGTTATGGGCTTTCGGAAGGCAACAAACAGTGTTGAGACACAGGTTACTTAAAGATAATTTGCTTGCCTTACTCAGTTTCCTTCAGTTATTATCTTAATGAATATATCTCCTCTTGACAATATGCAATCACAGGATCCTCAGTCCTCATACCTCCCCGATGGTAGTGGCTCCGCAGATACTTCATTTACTGGCTTAACTGAAAACCTTAATGTGAGTAGCTAGTTTAGCCTTTTAGGTATTTTGAGAAAGCTAGTAGCACGACATGCTTGCTGGATTGGTTCTACTTTTTCCTTTATGCAAACTCTCTCTGTTTTGGCAAAACATGGAAAGAATGGAGGCAGGACCAGTGCTGATTCTGTGCACCGGCAAGTGCCGGTTTCAGAGAAGAAAATGTCACGCCCCGAACCTGGGCCTGGACGTAACACGACACTCGGTGCCTGACCACATGTGACCGAGCGAACCAACTGGCTGGCTGAATCAACATGTGGTATCATAACATACTGAATGCGGAAGATAAATTAACACATGCTGATATACTGAAAGTCTGGATGATATAAATCAAAGTGCGGAAATACTAATACAATTCTAAAACATATTTGTTGCCAACATAGCTTAATATGAAAAGCCCGTGACTTTGTCTAACTGTTACTCTAGTCTATGAAGCCTCTAAAAAGTACGGAAAGCACTGACTGTAACAAAAAAATACTGAAGACTATAAGGTAATGAAAATGCCCCGAAAGAACTAGGATCACCAAATAGCTGGTACGAGAATCTTAGCGCTCGGAATCATCAACCTGTAAATCATTACCTGCATTGTGAAATGCAGGCCCCGGGCAAAAGGGACGTCAGTACATTTGAATTGTACTGGTATGTAAAGCAACTGAAAGAAAGAATTATAAATGCTGAAACTGAAATTAAGCTGATAACTGAGATTTGATAATTGATAACTGAAATGATAACTATTGAAACTGAAACTGAAATGATAACTGATAACTGAACTGATATCTGATAGCTAAACTGGTAACTGATAACTGATAGCTGAACTGATAACTGATAACTAAACTGATAACTGGCAACTAAAATGGTAACTAATAATTGAACTGAACAAAGGAAGTAAGGATATGAATACTCCCTCTCCTGAATGATGAACAACCTGTTTATCTGAATAATAAACTGCGGCCTCAGGCCCAATATATATATATATATATATGTCACGACCTCAAATACCAGTCATGATGGCACCTGTCACATTACTAGTCAAGCCAACCAATCAATGAATCACAACCCTTTTTCCTTTAAGAACAAGCCATTTTCTAACATAGGTTTTAAATACCAAACTCCATTATAAACGTTTAAAGCAACAGAAAATATACAGAAGTTAAATAACAGGAACTACACAGCGCCCAAGTATATGGTGTCACGAGTCTAGAGCCTCTAAATATACAAATCTGACTGTCCAATACATAACAAGTCTAAAATGCAGGGAAAACAAGGATAAGAGGAATAAAGCAGGGTTGCGGATGCCATGCAGCTACCTTGCAGTCTCCGGCAAACTCTGAAAATGCTAAGGACCCTCACTTTGCCGCTCGAGCACCTGGATCTACACACAAGGTGTAGGGAGTAACGTGAGTACGCCAACTCAGTAAATAACTAAAGTAAATAAGGTCTAAAAGCAATGACAAGCAGTTAAAAATCATATAACTGAAGAAAAACAATAGGATAACAGGTCAACTTCACAGATTAAAATCAGTTTCGTCAAAAAATCATCAAATTTCAGTTTAAAAACTTGGAATCATATACTTAGCAATTTTCCCAACAGAGGATTATTTTAAATAAGAGTGAAATCAGTAAAAATATCATAACTGGGCCCCTTCGGGCAAGATATCACTTAGAATATTGCCTCCCGGGCAGCCTCTCAGTCACTCGTGACTCCACTCTCGTCACTCACTACTCACTCTCAGTACTCAATCTCATTAATATCTCATAGTAGTAGAAATCATAGCAACCACTACGACGTGCATCCCAATCCGTAATTTATAGTCGACTATGCTCACTGGGGGTGTACAGACTCCGGAGGGGCTCCTACTGCCCAAGCGTCATATCGCTGCAGCGCGTAGCCCGATCCAATATGCATATCACTGCAGCGTGCAGCCCGATCTAGTATATATATCGCTGTCGCGTGCAACCCGATCCAGTATATATATCGTTGCGGCGTGAAGCCCGATCCATATAAGTATTGATGTGGCGTGCAGCCCGATCCATAATATATACATATAATCTCCTCACTATTAGGTTCTCAACCTCTCTCAGTCATTAACCTCACAGCCTCTCGGTCACAACAATAGAAATTAGGGAACTCAGCCTAAACAGTCCTCATAATTAGAAGTGGAGTGATAAAACCAGTTTAAACATTTAAACAGGTAAAACATGACTGAGGATATGCTTTCAACAAGTAAAGTGAGGAAAAATAGTAAAAATGCCCCTAAGGGTCTCAACAGGTCAGCACAAGGCCCCAAACACGACATACAGCCCATAATATAGTATAATTAGCTAAAGTACGGAATATCATAATGTTCCAAATCAAATACGCAGCTTAATAGTCACTACGGGACAGACCAAGTCACAATCCCTACTGGTGCATGCCCACAAGCTCGTCACCTAACATGTGTGTCACCGCATTTATCAAAACAAGTAAAATACCGGGGTTTATACCCTCAGTTCTAGATTTACAATAATTACTTACCTCAAACCGGTGAAAATACTACTCCGCGATGCCTTTGACCCTCGAATAGGCCTCCACTCGCATCGAATTTACCCAAAATCAGAATCATGGCGTCAAAATATGCTAAGGGAATGAAGCCCAAGCGAAAACAATCAAATAATACCAAAAATCTCGAAATTGTCCAAACCCGATCCCTTGAACCACGTCTCAAAACTCGATAAAAATCACATAAAAGTAATCCTTATCTTTCCGCGAGTCTATACATATCAAGAACACTGAAATCGAAGTCCAAATGGCCCCTCAAATCCCCATTTAAAGGTCTCTTAATCTCAAGCCCTAATCTCCAATTTTAGCCCTTAAATTCCATTAATCAAAGCTCTAACCCGTGAAATAGTAGTATAGGAACGAGTTTCAAGTCCAAATTCCTTACCTCAATGAAGTTCCCTTGAAATCCCTCTTTCAAATCGTCCAAAAAGCTCCAAGGCCGAAGTCAAAAATGGTGAAATAGTAGTATAGGAACGAGTTTCAAGTCCAAATTCCTTACCTCAATGAAGTTCCCTTGAAATCCCTCTTTCAAATCCAAAAAGCTCCAAGGCCAAAGTCAAAAATGGTGAAATAGCTCAAATTCGCGAACGCTATAATTTATACCTTCTGCCCAGTCATTTTCGCATATGTGGCTATATTTCCGCTTCTGCGGTACCGCATTTGCGGTTCATCATCCGCTTCAGCGGAAATCACTTATCCGGCCAAAAATTGCATCTGTGATCACACTTCCGCATCTGCGATATCGTAGATGCGGTCACCTTAACTGCTTTTGTGGTCGCTGCTCATCAGCCATTTTTCGCTTTTGCGAGCACTTCCTCCGCTTATGCGGCGCCGCACTTGCGGTCCCCAATCCGCAGGTGTTGAAATACCAGAAGTAGCAACTTCAGCAGCTGCAACAAAGTCCAAACTTCTCCGTTAAGAATCCGAAATCACCCCGAGGCCCCCGGGACCTCAACAAAAAGCACAAACATATCCTAATACCTTATTCAAACTAGTATCAATATTCAAAACACTTCAAATCAACCAAAACACATCAGATTCAAGCCAATTTTTCTAAATTCTTCAAAATTCCGCTTTTGATCAAAAACCCAAACAAACCACATCCGAATGACTTAAATTTTGCACACACATCCCAAATGACACCACAAAACTACTGCAACTCTCGGAATTCCATTCTGACCCCTATATCAAAATCTCACCTATCAACCGGAAATCACCAAAAATCTGATTTCGCAAATTCAAGCTTAAATCTACTCTGAACCTCCAAAATTCATTCCGATCACGCTCCTAAGTCACAAATCACCTCCCGAACCTAACCGAACCATTGGAACTCACATCCGAGCCCTCTAATACATAAGTCAACATCCGGTTGACTTTTCCAACTTAAACTCACTCTAAAGAGACAAAGTGGAACAAACCTTACCAAATCCTTTCCGAACTCGATCCGACCAACCCGATACCACATAACACGGATAAACAAATGATAAAGAAGCAAAAATAGGGAAAATAGAGCAGTAACTCATGAGACGACTGGTCGGGTCGTCACATCCTCCCCAACTTAAGCAAACGTTCGTTCTTGAACGAGTCAAGAAACATACCTGAAGCCTCAAATAGGTGAGGAATTCTGCTCAGCATCTCCCGCTCGGTCTCCCAGGTAGCCTCCTCCACGGGCCGACCTCTCCACTGCACTTTCACTGCAGCTATATCCTTTGACCTCAACTTTCGAACCTGACAACCCAAATAGCTACTGGCTCCACATCATAAGTCAAATCATCATCCAACTGAATCGTGCTGAAATCCAAAACATGAGATGGATCTCTGATATACTTCCGGAGCATAGAAACATGAAATACCAGATGCACACTCGACAAGTTGGGTGGCAAAGCAAGCTTATAAGCCACCTCCCCAATCCTCTGAAGCACCTCAAAAGGCCCAATGAACTGAGGACTCAATTTCCCTTTCTTAACAAATCTCATAACACCCTTCATGGGTGAAACCTTCAACAGAACCTTCTCGCCAACCATGTAGGACACATCCCGGACCTTCCTATCAGCATAGCTCTTCTACCTAGACTACGCTATACGAAGCCTCTCCTGAATTACCTTCACCTTTTCTAAAGCATCCTGCACCAAGACTGTCCCCAATAACCTAGCCTCACCGGGCTCGAACCAACCAACTGGAGATCTACACCGCCTCCTATACAAAGCCTCATATGGAGCTATCTGAATACTCGACTGATAGCTGTTGTAATAAGCAAAATCTACAAGTGGTAGAAACTGATCCCATGACCCTCTGAAATTAATAACACAAGCATGCAACATGTCCTCCAATATCTGAATAGTGCGCTCGGACGGCCCGTCCATCTGAGGGTTAAAAGCTATGCTCAACTCAACCTGAGTACCCAACTCTCGTTGCACAGACCTCCAAATTTGCGATGCAAACTGAGTGCCCCTATCTGAAATGATGGAACCTA